TCTCTTTTAAAAGAGTGCTAGTTAAATACTACTCAGTTGACAGTTAAGTGCTTTAGGTTTGGGGTTTTTTTTTTAAGCTGTGCTAGATGATATGCAGATGTGAAAATAAAAAGACCAAGTATGGTGTGAGGAAGCCATGTCTGAAGCTGTCAGTACTTTTTGGTTTGGAGAGCAGTCAAACTTAGCAAAATTTCTGAAGATACCAGACAGTTATTTTCTGTTCTTGTTTACATGCATTAGGAGTTAAACTATATTGCCTTACAAGGCACCAAAGAAATCTGGAGGTGGTATAGAAGCATTCATCATAGATATTGGACAACTGGATGTACATTTGACTGGGCAAGCCCAAGTCTGATGAAAATACCACACGTTCCTTTTTGATATCGTTTATAACATCACCTTTCATCTTTTACTTGCCCTTAAGGGGAGGAGGGGAGAAATTAAATTATATCATTGATGATATTCTCAATGGCTAACATGTTGCATGGAAGTTGAAGAAGACCCTTTTCTGTTGAGAGGCTAGGACAATGAAATACGTAGGCCCTTCAAGTTTGCTAGCCTATGTTTTTTAACCACTAGTGCAAGAGCTTCTGAGCTTGCTGAATATGCTAATGTGTGCATGGAGTCAAAATCCTTGAGCATTTCTAAGTTTGAAGGGGCAATAAAGTTAAGCACAAGAGCTGAGTTTTAACTGCAGATGCAGAGCAGCTCTAATGAACCACCAATTGTGTAGCTGGTTATAGGTGGTGGTTTGTTTATGGTATGAAATTGAGTCTCAGAGCAGCTTCTCCTCTCCTGAGCAGTGAAGTTCCTTGTTTCAGATTGGATGTGATGCTACAGGAAGCTTTCTTAATTGCCAAAGAAGTAAATTAAGCAGGTTAATGGTACTTTAAGTCTAAATTTTGCAGGTGGGAAATCAGTTTGGGATCGATGGCAGAATACGTTACATGAAAAGTAATCTCATTAAAATAGATTGTATGTAATGTTATATATTGATCTGTTCTGCTGTGAGTCTTGGGCTCTTTTAGCCAGAAATACCTTGATAGTGAATCATATTAATCTCCTAAACTTGCCAGTTTAATATAGTAGGCTCAGAAAACCTCAGAAGAGGAATGAAAAAGTAGCTGAGTTGATGAGTACCTGTGGTGGTGGATGGACAGGGGTCCATTTCTCCCATCCTTACAACTGACCTGCAATTCATAAGCTCTGCTGTTAGCCAGCTTTGTTTATATCTAGCTGGCTGGCTGAGGTCTTAAGAAGGGGTTCAAACAATGGACCTGTTCACACAACTGGTTTCCTTCCATTTGCTGTAGTCATTAACAAAAACTTCAAATGTATAAATAATGCATGCCCCAAAGTCTCGTTTTGATACAGTGATTACTTCCTTTTATAGTTGCCCATTAAAAGCCCCCTCGTGCTGCCCCACACAATGCCTTGCACTCACTCTTTAAAAAGCATTTGTAACTGTTTTTTAAACAGTAATAACATGTTTTTCAGCTCATGTTCTCTTGTAGCTCAGCTGAAAAGTTAGTTACTAAAAGAAGGTTCTGCATAATAGACCCTTTGCCTCATAAGGAAATTTAAGAAAGCTTTTTTGCCCCCATGAAGGTGGTTACCAGCTGTGTCTAGAGGTGCAACAATCTGAGTAATTTTTGCAGCATTCTGAATGAAAGTGTGACTCTAAAGCATTTCTTTCTGCTCTGGGATCTTAGTGATGCACTGTTGTGTTGTCACAGCTCCTAGCAGGCAGAAATTCCATGTGGATATGGATGATCTGGTGAAGCTGTTCCTAGCAGATGTCGTGATTACTTAGAAACCTTTCAAAAATTAGATGCTGGAATGACATCAGTTGCAAGGAAATGTTCTAAATGTGGTTTATGCTGGTCATTGAGAAATTTTAAAACCCTACAAGAGCTGAAGTTTCTACAGGAAAATGGTTTCTACATAAACATTTCTACTGTTTTGTGACCTTAAGTAGCTCCAAAGAAAGAAGCACTTGGAGTCTACAAATAATTAATGAAGCTTCTTAAGTCTTCTGTGTTTTCCTGAGAAAAAGCAAAATCTGTGAACTTACAATATTTTTGCCTTCCAGACTGAACTTCCAGGAGGCCTTCTATAACTAGATAAATTCAGTGTCATCTGTACTCCTCAAAGTCTGTTAGTAGTTTGTTGCAGGGCTTCTGTTTGGTCCTTTTCTTGAGCAGGTAAAAATATGCTTCAGTAGAAGAGTTTTAAAAGCCTCATGGGTGGCCAGAATGGATTTACAGTAAATGCTATTAAATTTTTTTGACTTCAGCAGGCTCATTTTTTAGTGGTTATAGCATAAGCATCTATGTGGAAACTTTTCTTTGAAGAAATTGAAACAGTTTTGATCAAATCTGTTAGGGTGCTTCTGGTACACTTGTTCTACTAGGTTTTGCTTTTGCTGATAGGTATTCAGACTAATATAAAGTTTTTTGAGTTAATGACATTACTTAATCCAAGCAGATTATTTCTAAAATCATGGTTTATAGGACAGAGTAATTTATCAAGGTTCTCTTGATACTTGCCCTACAATACTAGTTGCTGCAAAGCATCATTTGAGTAGAGCTGTTCCAATGTTCTTTGCTTTTAGCTAGCTTGTTTATTCCACGAGCATACTTGTGGGTAAAAGATGTTGAAATGATACACAAGCAGTAAAATTTCATTCCTAGTTGATGCATGTTACTGTTTTCAAAACACTGGGAAAAAAAAAAACACCCAAGTAAAATTATAGATGATCATAGAATAGAATCATAGCTCTGTAAACTTGGTTGTTACCCAGAGATGGGGCAGCTGTGATGCAGTAGGTCAGGCTGGCAGCAGCCAAGAGGCATTTCTTACCATCTTACTTGAGCTCAGCTTAACTATAGAACTTTCTAGTCTGTCTTCTGCCTTGATGCTGCTTCAGGTTCTTTGAAAGCGTAGCTGAGAAGCAAAAATAGAACTTTTTAATTGTCTCTCTGGTCTGAGCTTCTAGGTGGGATCGTTTCCTTTTTTAGGGCTGTGAGCAATCCCTGGTGTCTGACAGCTATTGAACGTACACAGGGCTTGGAAGCAAGTTAATTGTGACTCTAAACAGCTTTTACTTTTTAGAACAGTAAACTTTTATCCTCAGTGAAAGAATAAATTTAGTCTGTGTTCTTGGCCAAGTTTATCTCCCTTTATCTATTTCCTGTTACTTTGAAGGGTGCAAAGGTTCTTGTGTAATAGTTCTAGGGAACTAAATTATACTCAAAGTGCAGACATGTCTTTCTGAAGATATAAGGTGATAGAGTTGTTTTTATTTTCTGCAATAACTTCTTCTAAGGACTTACTAAAGCAGTGGGAGACATCTATTCTTTTAATTCCTTTTTTTTTCTACTTTGGTTTTTATGAGAGTTTTCCTAGGAAGATCTTCAAACAGTTTTTTTCTTTCAATTTTCTTTTTTTTTTTTTCCTCCACATTATTGGAGCAAAGCTGAATAATCAAAGTGCCAGCAATGAGATTAAGCTACTGTGTGAAATAAGGGTGTTTTTTTTTTTTTCTCTAAAGGGTGTTTATAAGTTCTTAAACATAAATTCCTCATTGCAGCCAGGTGTCCTTGCATTTATTCTCTGCTTTCCTCACCTACTCCAAAATCTAGGCTGATCTCCTGTGGCACAGGACAGCTGCTCTGTCTAGGGATGTTTGCTGTGTCTTTGGCTGGTGATGCTCAATACCTGGTTCTGTTAGAGGAAAGTACCCATCCAAGTGAGCTTGTGAGTGTGCCTAGACACTTGGAAAAGCCTTATCAGATGGCTTTCAGTTAAATCAAAGATAGGTGGAAGAAAGATGCCTGTGATTAAAGGTAGCAACCGAAGAGAAGCAGCACAGAGGTATTTAAATCTTGCTTCCCCCCACCCCCCTTCTCTCTCTCATGTGCAGATTTGGTGTCTGGGGCTGTGTTAGGTGCTCTAATTCACCATGGTTTATCAAAAGTTGAGAGACAATGTTGTTTGGCAGTCTCTGTAGCAAGAAAGGAAGCATCTTTTGTTATTGACATCCTTTCTCTTAGCTCTGCTCTTGCTTTTTGCCAGCTGCTCATTGTCTATACTTGCTTATTTAGTATTCACAAGGGATTTTACAAGTTCTTATCAGTTCGTTGCCACAGCACATCATTTCCTCTTGTCATCGGTACTCCTTAAATTGGTGGGGGGAGGATTTGCAGTGGAGCTGGTGAGTGGTAGAAAACATCACCATTCATGAGCACTGACTTGCACAGTGTTGTTCTGCTTCTCTACTTACAGAGGCAGTTTGTAGTAAAGGTCACATTTCCAGCACTTACTCTGCCATGCCTTCCCCCCCCCAGCTTTTTCTGGGGAAAAGAAAACAATTTTTTTCTTGCCAAAGGCTAAAAATATCCAGTGCTTCAAATATTCTTCTTAAAAGATAGAAGGAAGTGCAGCATAAAAATAGCCACAGCTGGCAAGGCTGAGCACCTTTGAGTGGCTGGGGAAGGGTTCATTTGGGGGTTTTACTGGGATTTTCTTAATTGCTTTTGTTTTTCTTTTAGTTATCTACAGTGTTTTTTCCTCATTTCTTTTAATACTCTTCAGAAGACATGGGATACCTAATTACAAGTTCTCCTTTGGGGAAATAAAGCTGCATTTGAGAAGCTGGATGAATGCAGTAGTGGCTGTGGAACTGCTGGTTCCACCAAGCCTTGAGTTTAAGGATACTGAAGGAAAGTAAGGGATTTAAGGAATGTTGTTAACAGAAACCATGATGTCCCTTTCATCCCTTGACTGTCCTTTTTCCCTCTGATCAGAAATGCAAGAACTGGGGATTCTGATCTCATTTTACTTAGCTCTGGGGTGAAGATCTGGTACTTCTGAGATTTTGTTTTGAAACAAAATCATGGGCAATGGTTAGGATTGAAATGGGGTTTCTTTTAATATCTGCCTTTTTGATTTACCACTTTCTTAACTGGTTTACTAATTACTTGTTATCTTTTTAATAGAACTTAACTGGAGGAATCGATCCATTTTTTTTGATGTGAAGACTTCATCACTGACATCTGTATGTCCATTTGTCAGCCTCCTTAAATAATACAGCTTTTTAGTGGCAATAACTGCTTTAGCTACACACTGACATTTTATCTGAAAACCAACAAAAATCCCAACAGACAAAACCCAACAAATCTCTAGAAGACTTGTGTCAAATGACGTCAATGGCCAGTTTGTTCTCCTTTACTAGCCCAGCTGTAAAGCGTCTGTTGGGCTGGAAACAAGGAGATGAAGAGGAAAAATGGGCAGAAAAAGCTGTCGATGCTTTGGTGAAAAAGCTGAAAAAGAAAAAAGGTGCTATGGAAGAACTAGAGAAAGCCTTGAGCAGCCCAGGCCAGCCCAGCAAGTGCGTTACGATCCCCCGCTCCTTAGATGGACGACTTCAAGTGTCTCACAGAAAGGGCCTTCCCCACGTCATTTACTGTCGTGTCTGGCGTTGGCCTGACCTGCAAAGCCATCACGAGCTGAAGCCATTGGATATTTGTGAATTTCCTTTTGGATCTAAGCAGAAGGAAGTCTGCATCAATCCATACCACTACAAGAGGGTGGAGAGCCCAGGTATGTTTGAAAAACTGAGCCAGATCTCCAGGAACCACTCGCTCTTCACTCCCTGCTCCTCCTCCAGTACTGTGTAGCAAGTTGCATTTGTATGAGGCAGTGTGGCAGAGGGGTGGTCAAAGTGTCCTTTGCTGGTGGGATTTTGGGGAGTTGTGTTGTCTGTTTCGTACTAGCTGATTGAATTTGTGGTAAAACACACTTGTCTCACAGATCTCTTAAGCCTTTTCAAAGTTCTAAATAATATAAAATAGAAATAGTGATTAAAATAGAAAGCATTGATTAAAAGAGTGTAGCTGTCAAATTCCAGACCCTAAGACTCTTGAATTTAAAAGTTAAACCTCCAGCTTAGCAATAGTTGTATATTGTAGTATAGATTCTGTTTGTCTTCAGTGGAAAGAGCTATGTGTAACTGTATAGTGAGACTGTAGTAGTGTAGGCTGTGTTTTTACTGCTTTAATGTAAACATACAATGAGTTTTGCACTTCTAAATCAGTACTTTGACATGTGCCACATGTGGACTGTCCTTTTAAAGAAAAAGGTCTGTTCCTAGTTGCATGAGATAAGTGTAGTTTTGCTCTGATTTTTGGAAGAGTAAAGTTTGAGTTCCCCTTTTTACTGCTTTAATGTAAACATACAATGAGTTTTGCACTTCTAAGGCAGTATTTTGATATGTGCCACATGTGGACTGTCCTTTTTAAAAAAAAAAAAAGGTCTGTTCCTAGTTGCATGAGGTAAGTGTAGTTTTGCTCTGGTTTTTGGAAGAGTAAAGTTTGAGTTCCCCATGAAGCCTGCTGTGAAACCACAAATGGGGTCCAGGCATGACAAGTGAATGCCCTGCTCCTCTTTCCACCACAGCTAGTGTTGAAGTTGTCAGGATGAGCAGAATAGCACGTTTATTTGTATCTCTTTCCTTTTATCTTACCTGTTTTTGTCTTTTGTTGTTGTTTTTTTCCAGTTCTACCTCCAGTGTTAGTGCCTAGACATAGTGAATTCAATCCCCAGCACAGTCTGCTAGTGCAGTTCAGGAACCTCAGCCACAACGAACCACACATGCCACACAACGCGACGTTTCCAGATTCCTTCCAGCAGCCCAACAGCACTCCATTCTCCATTTCACCAAACAGCCCCTACCCACCCTCACCAGCCAGCAGCACTTACCCAAGCTCCCCAGCCAGCTCTGGACCATCCAGTCCATTTCAGCTACCAGGTAACTACAGCCCAAATGTCAACTCAAGAAAAATAACTGACACGTCACGTGCTGTTGTGACTCATTAGAAATAATTCCAGTCAGGAATTTGTGAAACTTGCAACAAATTGCTTTTCCATTTGCACTTTAGGGGTTTTTCTTCCTAGTGTTGTCACTGGTCAGGGTTAATGGTTATAGTTTTATTTTTCCCATTTTTTTTTTGGTCACAGATAAAATAGTGGATGAGTTGTTTTCTGCATTTTCAGTGTAGAATAACTGACAAATACTTTAGAATATCTAACAATGGAAAGGAAGCAGAGGTAAGAAGCTGAGCATATTTGTTGATGTCTTTCTCTGAATAAAGACACATGGTATTTAACTGGAAAAAGTAGGAAATTTTTGATAGGAACTTCACCAATTTGTGTGAAAATGGGGGAAAAAAAAACAACTGACAGAGCAGAGGAAAGACTCCTTATTTAGTCTGGTTATTGGTGTTGTTTATAAAGCCCAGAAGTTAATAGATTAAAGAATTTATTTTTCCAGTAGCTCAATGGCCTCATCTTTGTTCTTTCTGGCTGCCCAGTGCTGCAGAAAGTCTGTTCAGTGGGGTGTCCCTCTTGGATACGTGCTGTGATCACTGGGATGGGTTCCTTAGTGGTATCTGGAGGGAGTTTCTGAACTAGGAGATAATGGTGCACTGAGGACTGTGCTGAATGGAGGAGTGCAGAGATCCACACTTCTGTGATGGAAGTTCTATGGAGCAGCCAAAAAAATAACTGGTTTAGGGCTTCATTATGCTCTGGTAAGTAAAGTTACTCCTACTGATTCTTTCTTTTTGAAGAGAGTAGGCAAGAAAGCTAATGTTTGTGTGACAAAAAATAGGAACTACAGCCATCTTGCCCAGCTGCTGGAGTGCAGTTATTAAAGGGAAAAAGGCAAAAAGAAGAAAACACATTTCTTAGTGTTTTTTTTTCCCCAAGTGTCCAATCTTGTTATTAGTCCCATGGGTAAGAATCCAACTATTGAAGGAGTTTACTGTAAAGACAGCTGGCTGGGTTGTCTTCAGGTTACTTTGAAAATGGGTCCAAATGTTTTAACATCTCTTGCTCAAGAGTATTTTTGTGTGTTTACAACTGTGGAATGAATAAATAAATATTCTAAATTGTTGAGGTTTATTCTGGTTCATTATTGTTTTCTCATGTTTGTAGCTGATACTCCACCTCCTGCATATATGCCCCCTGATGATCAAATGGGGCAGGATAATTCTCAGTCTATGGACACGAGCAATACAATGATCCCTCAAATCATGCCAAATATATCTACCAGGGGTAAGTTGTACAGTATGGTGTAAAACTAACATAGTTTGGCTTCTTCACAACTCGTGGCCAAACTGAATGAATAACTTCAGATGGCCCAGTAGGCAGTAAGTGGAGGCCATCCTCCAAGGCAAACTGGGGCTGTAACAGAAACAGTTGAGAAGTAAAACTTGCCTTGCTTCTTGGGGAAGTAAATTTAAAAATTGAGGAAGAAAACTTACCTTGCTTCTTTGCCTCTCTTGCTTTTAAAGCCTCAGGTGTGTTTTTTTTCCATTTAATATGAGGCTTAAAATAGAAAAAGAAGTATAAAATCAATGGACTAGCTAAAATGCATTGAAAGTAAGCATCATTAAGATTTTAATCAGAACAGTTCTTGCCCATCATAAGTGCTGGCTAAGCTTTTTCCTTACCTGTTGAGATTTTGGTAGTCCTGCTTCACAGTTTTAGGTGTCACCTTCTACCAGGTAAACTGTTGTTTCCATTTTGCTTCTTTCCAGACGTTCAGCCTGTTGCCTATGAAGAACCCAAGCACTGGTGTTCCATCGTGTATTACGAGTTGAACAATCGTGTTGGGGAGGCTTTCCATGCATCTTCTACAAGTGTCTTAGTAGATGGGTTTACAGATCCCTCCAATAATAAAAACAGGTTCTGCCTAGGTTTGCTCTCCAACGTCAATCGCAACTCGACAATCGAGAACACGAGGCGACACATTGGGAAAGGTAAAGCTCAGTTGTGTTACCTCTGCTCAAGCCAGGTCCTTGCTTTTATTTCAGCTTCTGGATACTCCAACAGTGATTGTTCTCAGATAAGAACAGAAGTAATCTGTGATACATTGGGAGACAACTTGCTTGGGTATGGTTTGATACTAATTAGTCTAGGAATTGCCTACGTTTTTCTTCAGCATTCATTTAAAAGGTTGAATATTGCTTTTCCTTACCAAACTATATGTCACAGGGGCTTGTTTTTTTATGGTTACTGGTTGTAGAATTTTGTTTCAACACCAAGAAACATACTGCAGGACTTCTGATGTTCTGTGTTATATCTGCTTCTGAAATCAAACTCTTTCTAGCACTTTACAGCGTATCAAAGGTCTTTTTGATTTTGTTGTTCATGTGAGGTATTACTCTGCTGTCCACAGCATGTTCAAATATCTTGCATGAGTTGGCAGCAGGACTTTGAAGTGCTAATGCAAAACTGCAAGGGCTCATTTGTCTGAGTGAATCCAAGGGGTGTGTATGTGTGTGGGAGGGATTCCTGGAGACAGCAGGTTTTGCAAGATCTTCAAGTTTCCCCATACTGTTTGGCTGATAGCACATACAGATGCACCGTTTTCATCCTTGATGGAATGTGCTTGGATTATCTTAAAATGTGGTGCTCCTTTTCTGGATATCTCCTTTTTTTGGTGGCTAAGCCAGTCATGAGAAGAAAACCCTGTTTCTGTTGCATGAATCTAGAGGCCTTTTTAACACCTAAGATTATTTGGTACAGTTGGTCTTCAGTTTTGTTTGGTGAAAAATCTCTGTTGCTTGTAATGTATCTTCAAGACCCATCCTGTCTGTCAGCAGTCTTTTAATTAGAAACCACTATAAATATTGCAAAAGTTTGCAGATAATCTGGAGACAATGAGTTTTATTATTGTCTGTTGGAAACTTGGCTCCACGATGCTGTTGTCCGAGCGAATTCAGTGTTATAAAGGAGAACAACTGATCTGTGGGGTGTGGGTGGTTTGTCAGGTTCTTTCCATGCAGTCATTAGGGTTGGAAAAGGCCTCCAAGATCATCAAGTCCAGCTGTCAACCCAACACTACCATGACCACTAAACCCTGTCCCAAAGTGCCACGTTGACATGTTTTTTTGACCCCCTTTAGGGGTGGTGACTCCACCACCTCCCTGAGCAGCCTGGACAATGCCTCACCAAAGGCATTTTGGTTTAGCTTTCCCCTTCCCATGGTAGTGGCAGAGAAATCTCACGTGTCTGCCCAAGGTCATAGGTGTAACAGGGCCCCAACATCATGTTGTAGAATAATATTGATTGCACTGAGCTTTAAAATATCTACATCTCCATTACTAATAAGCTAAAACTTTGCTTTATGAGAACAGTTCTGAGAACAATTAAGATGGGTTTGGGATACAGTACTATTTATTTATGGCTTTTGTTTGGAAGGTCTTGGATTTTTGCCTTCATAAATCTACACAATCCTACTTGTTAAGCTTTTTTCTGTAGAGGCATTACATGGCAAGCATAAATGACTTCTGATTGTGCATTGGATTTTTTTGGAAGTATCCGTGTTCTTTTCCAGCTGTTGTATTGTCCACCTGCCCTCTTAAGGGGCCTTTCAGAAGGTCTTTACCCAAAAGAAGTTAGGTAGCAAGTGTCCCTGTCCTTTTAAATAAACAGTGTTGTGTTGTGAAAATACATTCTTGTCCACCCCAGATTTTCTGATAGCTGCTTGTAGTTGGAATTCCTCTGTGTAACCTTCATCTGGCCTTGGTCCCAAGTGGACCTTGCCATGCTCACAACAGTTGCTGCTGTCTGATGTACTGGATGTACCTCTCCCTTTGCTTGATAAAATACACTGAAAATCAGAGCAGACTAGATCTGCTTTCTCACTCGTGTCTGTCACTGCCCCTTCTCCTCTGACACTCTTGTTTCTGCTGGAGTTGCCATGGGCAGAAGCTATCAGTTTTTGAGAACTGGAGTTTTAAAATCCACCTGAATTCTCTAGGAGAATAGCTGGAAATAACTGTTGACCTGTGGAAATAGGTTTGTTCCTTCTCTCCTGTAGTTGGTGAGAGAAGGACATCTAGTGGCTGGTGTATAATGAAGCCTCTACTGTGATTGGAAATGAGCAGTGTGCTCCAGTGTAGCAAGAGCTTTTCTGAAAAGCTTCTCAAACAGTAAATTTACTTTGTCGTCTATGATTTTGAAGGAGTTGTATAAAATGCTATAATTTGGGGGGGAAAAAAAATAATATGAAACGTTTTTATCTTTGTTTCCTAGGAGTTCATCTCTACTATGTTGGTGGGGAAGTCTATGCTGAGTGTTTAAGTGATAGCAGCATATTTGTACAGAGCAGGAACTGCAACTACCACCACGGCTTTCACCCAACAACTGTGTGCAAGATTCCCAGTGGATGCAGCCTGAAAATCTTTAACAATCAGGAGTTTGCTCAGCTTTTAGCTCAGTCTGTCAACCACGGATTTGAGGCAGTGTATGAGCTCACCAAAATGTGCACCATCCGAATGAGTTTTGTAAAGGTAAGCCCATTATTTGAAGAGCATTTAATCTTATTGTGGATTTGGGTATTCAGCAGTAATTACATTAGCACTGTAACAATGTAGGAAAGCTGCTCTGACATGATGTGGTTCTTTTCAATGAGAAACATTGAAAATGGTTAATTTGGTGAGACACAAATTGATGCAAGAAAGAGAAAGCACAGATTGCTGGCTTGAACATTTGGTTATGTATCTAGTTACTTCAGTATTCAGGACAGGGATTTCATCGTTGTGGTTGCTATCCTTTTATTAAAGGAGATTTGAGCTCCTGCTCTAAAGTTGAAGGCACAAAGAGTGTTGTAAGACCACTGAAAGGATGTGAGTAGAATGAGTAGAGAGGAGCATAAGTGGTTGCAGAAACAACTGTGACTCTCAGAGAGCCTAACATTATTTCAAAAATAATGGAAAAAAGACCTGATTTGAATTTATGCAGCCAAGCTGTGCTGTCCTTCTCACAGAAGTGTTCTCTCAACATTGCTTAGTCAAGGCTCTCTCTGTTTTGGGTTCAGCATGGACTCTAGACTTGGGCCTTCCAGGGTTTGTTTGCGTCTTGTCTAAAGGGTGTCTTGCTTGTTTTGTCAGTTAGGAGAAACACTGCTCAGTTGGAGAGTGGTGGATAGGGAGGGAGCAGGAGGGAGGAGCAGCAGAGATGTGGCCACAGCCAGGAGCCTTTCTTGAGTCTGCAGAGAGCTCCTCAGGCTCCAAGTCTGTAGCAGACGGGACTTGGTTCAGACTCCCAGGTGCAGCTTCCCTCCCACTCCTTCCCAAACTCAGTTTTTTTCCTTGAGATAAGCAATGTTGTTAGACTATGCATATTTTCTACTTCTTGTCAGCACAGTTCTTTTGAAAGACAAGCATGTCCTCAACTTGATAACATTTTGTTGATTTTTGTAGGGCTGGGGAGCTGAGTATCACCGACAAGATGTCACGAGCACCCCGTGCTGGATAGAAATTCATCTTCATGGGCCCCTTCAGTGGCTGGATAAAGTACTCACACAAATGGGTTCTCCTCTCAATCCCATCTCCTCGGTTTCATAGTGCTGAAATTCCACCTCCAGCCTTATTTTTAGCGAACTTATTCTAATTCTAGAGAAACTTCCAGTGTGGATACTGTGAGCTATATGGAGAATGGATCTTAGGTTTAACTGTTTTTTTTTAAAATCCCTTTGTGACCAATTCCATTGTGTATAGCTAATCAGTTTTACATTTCAATTTGTTCCTGTGATGCTTAAGTGACCGTTGAGCCCTAAGGGAGAAAAAGTCTATTGAAATATTCAGAACACTTTTCCCCTCCTTCCCCTAGAACTTAAACAGGCATATGTCTTAACTGGAAAACTTTCTTCATGTCCTGTTAGGGACAAGAATCATGAAGACTGACTTCAGAAAATAAATACGTATCATAGTTTGGGATTATTTTTTAAATGTTTATGAAACTGAACATGTGCAGCTCCAGCTTGCAAGCCTTATTTTTAGCATAGTTGTTCAACATCTTAAATTTGACATCTGTCATAAGCAAAATCAGACTTTATTATGGCTCCTTTGCCTCAGATTGAACAATGTGATATTTTTTTTTTAAGTGTACACATGAAATATACTTTTTACAAATATTGGAGTGGTGTAAAAACACTTGTATTGTCTATTGGAAAATGCTGTCATAAACACACTGTATATTAATGCAGAATAGCAGTTCTTAGCCTTTTCCCACTTCAGTTTTGTATTCTCTCTTTTAACCACCGTTTTAAATAGTAACTGATACAAGGTAAACATCTTGCACGTTTCTGGAGTAGTAATTCTCATTTTGCTTTGATTTACACTCGTGCCGTTTGGATTTGGTTGCCAAGGCTGTTTCTTTTTAGGTACCCTTCTCTATTTTAACATAAACACTACTATTTGTAAATGGCAGTGCTTACTACTTTTTGGAAGGAATAAGTTTGTTTTTGTTTCCTCCTTTTTTTTGGTGTTCTAGCTGTTTATTTTACCTGTCTGGAATTGATCTGTGTTAAGGCCTTTTTAATCTCTCAGTAGACATTATGCAGTATTAGTGATTACACTGTATTTAATTCACTTTCAGTATGAGTTTGAGTCTCTTTGAAGACTGTGAGTGGCTTGGCAACTTAGTAACTGAATGCAGAAGCTTTTATGTCCAGATCATGTAATTTAATAACAGACCTGTTGGTAATGACCAAAAGTAATCACTTCTTTGTAGTCTCTGCAGAACAGTGGTCTCCATCCTGTCCCTGGTGGCAGGGGTTCAGTGGAAGACTCCTTACTGCAGCTGACAGCTTTATGGGATTGCAAGACTGCATTAATATGATGATGATGAAATTTCTCTCTCACCTGTAAGGAATCCTGTTGCCTGTGCTGTTGTGTTACTCAGTAGAGAGTTTAAACACTGTACTAAACACTACAAGAAATCGGTTGAATAACATATTTTTCCCCTTTCAATAAAAAAAAAGGCTGAAAGAAATATTCTAAGACAATTAGAAGCAGAGTATATTCAAAATTCCTTTGCATGCAGAAAAGACCTATTGTATTTTTTAACTCGTCACCCTCCTTTTTCCCCAGCATCTCTTCAGAAGAGGGTTCAGTGTTTGGGGGAGAGGCTACAAACTCTAAAATCAAATTCTTATGCAAAGATGTGTTGCAGTTAATTACTGCAGTCTTGAGACATTGATTGCTTAGATGAGTTCTTGTGTCTTCTGTTGAATTAGTTTCTGCTCAAATGTGGAAAACGTGCATCATATGGTACCTAAGTAACAAATGATCTTAAAGGAATAAAATTGTTTACTTGTTATTAAAATGTTTCTTATGAAATGCCTTAAAGGAATAAACTGTAACACTTCTGCAGAACCCTAATGTTTTCTTGTACAGGAATTTCTATATTACTTGGTGTTTTGGTTTTTATTTTTTGTTTGTGTTTATTTTTTTAGCAGTTTCTCATTGTATTTAAAAACCCAAGTCCATCTTCAGGAGAAGGGCATCTTCAATAACATTACTTGCCACTCACCATTGGGGTCTTCTCTTTGATTCTTTGGAACTGCAACCCACAAATGGTTCTTTTGATTGAATAAGATGTGAAATCAATTTGCCATAGGATCAGGCTTCTATTTTCTTCTGCCTGAGCCTGACTTTTGTCAAGTTGCTGAACATGGAAATTGACACTACAAGATTTTATTTTATTTTCCTTGCCTAGCTTTTATATTGCCATGGCACATCAGATTAAGAAAAGAGCCTGACTTTTGTCAAGTTGCTGAATATGGAAATTTGACACTACAAGATTTTATTTTCCTTGCCTAGCTTTTGTATTGCCATGGCACATCAAATAAGAAAAGATCTCACTTGGAGGTACAAGATTTTACTTTATCCAAAAATGTGTTTTTCACCTGGCTTCATCTCTGTTGACTTTTCTGTTTAGATGTGGCCAAGTAGATGACTCAAGAATGGGTGCTGAGGCGGGCGTGGATGAGCCAGGGCTGGTGCTTAGTGCTAGTGTTGTGGTTAGATTGGCTGCCCGTGCACTGAACCATAATTTCTGCAATAATATCCAGTTAACCCACTTCTAATCCTGTCATTAAGTGCTGAAGGCACTACTCTGGCATTTTTCTGCTTGTGTCTGTACTCTTGCTGTGCAATACCTGCAGTGCTGGGGATATCCTTGCGACTGCTCCTCCTGCCAGGGTAGCCTTGCAGGAGCAGACCCAGTGAGATCTGTCTACCTTCTACTTTCCTGCTTTCTGTTCCTGTCTAGTAGGGCTTTTTGAGAGCTTCCTTGTTAGCAGATTTTGTGTGCTGCTGCTTCATGGTGCTCCTCATCATGTCGAGTTCATCTGTGCTCCTGGTAGAAGGTTCAGCTGTCGGTACGCAGATGGATTGGATGGAGAAATGCTTGACACTAAGGATGTTTTAAGTATAACAATAGCAGAGTGCTGCTTCTGTTGCAGCACATTTGTTTGTAAGTCACTTCTTGATCTAGATGGGGGGACAGAGAAGTTGAATCAGCCAGTAGTGTGCTTGTGGACGATGGAGCCTCTCCAGTGTAGCTCAGCTTAGCTCCTCTTCAGTGAAAACTTCTGGCTTTTGTAGTGTATTTTCTTTTGGGGCATTTTTTTCTACTTTGCACCAACCACAGCATTAACTAACAGCTTGTGCAATACCAGCAAAGAGCCTAGAAGAGGCAAATACTGAAGTTCTTTCTGGGTTTGCTTTTATAGTCACTAAGATAAGATAGTAGCTTGAATGTTCCTCCTTGGAGGACTTCAGTCTTGCTGGCGGTCAGTCCAGTGCCTTGTGTTGAGTATTATGTTCATTTGGTTGCATTAGGCCCATGAAGGGATGAGATTGGATTATAGAATCTATAGGACCAAAATAAAGCTTTCTAGTATGACTGACAGATGAGGGAAGTATCTAGTGGAACAATCCATTGGTCAAAAGAATGATGAAACAGCCCATGTGTTACAATTTGGTATAGAATTGTTTCAAATACTGGATTGCTTTTGGGTTTTGATTAAAGCTATGACTGTTTTCATTCCCCCCACAGTATTACAATGTGAAAGTTGCCAATTGCTGGGCAGATACTCTTACACTGTAAGTCTAGAGAACATTAAAATATATCAGGCTTTTCTCCCTAGTCTGAAAGAATGATTTTGTTCAGGATATTGTTTTAGTTGCCCAAAGTGGTGGTTTTAAGGGAAAAATAAACCAAACCCCAAAACATCTAAAAGTTTTGCTTCGAAAGACAAACATGTGACTAACTTTTCTGTAGTTGTGCCATTTCTGTTTAGGAAGGTGACCCATCCTGAATTCAGATCAATAGACCAAACCATCAGATTACAACATAATGTTGCTTTATTGTGCTGCTCCATAAACCTGCTTCTGTGTTTGTTGCAAGCATAACCTTTATGCTTTTGTTTACATTGTAGGAAACACAGTTCTAGCAATGAGTTTTGGTTTTGTTTTGTTTTTCATTTAACTCTAAACATCTTTTTATTTTGTTAATTTTAAAATTATTAGGTTTTGCTATGTTATGTTTTTAAAAGATATTTTTTTGCATACTGCTGCTCATATTTCAATAAACAAAACAAAAAACCCACAGTTTTTTTTTCTGATTTCCTTTATCTGTAACTCAATATGTCTCAAACTCTTGTTTACCAGGGTTGATTTCTGAGTTCTTCTAACTCTTGCTGCTGATGCCTTCCCATATACCTATTCCTCCTCATACAAATGTGATCTTGTGGTATTAAAAACCCACTTTTTGATAGCTTTTGGGTAACACAAAAGCTGCCGTGCTCTCAGAAGCAGAGACTAAAGAATTTTTCAAGAGTTCTTTTTTCTTCTTTAAGAATGCAGCCAGCTGGAAAGGTATAAATTTTATTTAAATCAGTAATAGAAAAAAACCAGGTATGGGTAAGAATTCAGCAACACTGATTATTGAGTTGGGGGTGGTTGGGTTTTTGTTCAGATTTTTTTTACCATTGTGGCTGACTATAACATTTTTAAACAACCATAATTAGGTGTGAACATGTAGAGCTTTGAACTGATCTCTGATAGCCTTGAAGTGAAGGCTGTTTGAGTATCTCCTGAAACTCAAGTACTGTTCCAATAAAATGGAAAATCAGGGTTAGTTTAGTGAGCTGTTCTTTTACTGTCAGCCTTAATATTTTAAGATTGAGGGGAAGGAAACTTTTCCTCTCATTTACCCAGATACTGCAGAAATGGATGTTGAAGTGGTAATTGGTGGTGTGCACAAATTGAAAGAAATACTCTTTTATTTTTTTTTTTCTGAATCCCAATTCTACAGGGATGTCAGCATGTAAGAACTGCAGAAAGGACAAATTGTGTAATTAGTGCAAAAGTGTTGATACTGCTTGAACTTGTCTGAGCTTAATTTAGTGAGCAGGCTGCTGCCTGGCAGTAATACTCCATCCAGTTCTCTCCTCTCAAGAATAACATAATTGGGCTGGTTTTTTTCCTCTGAAGGTACAACAGCACTATTCTATGGAGAATCTGATCACTCAAGTACTAATTTTTTAATTATTTTCTGAAACATGATTTTTTTTTTGTCCTCCAAAACAATGATTGCCATTTAAAATCTCCAGATTTATAATGATAATGTTACCTAGGTTATAATCTAATTAGCAAGTAAATCAAATTGAGTGTTGCAGTGGCTTGTTGAAACTGCCTATGGACTTATAATAATAGTTTTCTATGTGAATTAACAACAACAAAAACCCACCTAGAAAACAAAGCACACACAAAACAAAAAGAAAAAATCTTGGTTATTAAAAGCTTTAAAATGTGATTTTATAGAACTAAAGAGTTTTTGTTAACTAGGCTTTCTGTTTGGGGAACTAGAGGTATAGTAACAGTTGGTAATTACACCCTGGAGTAGCTGGCCCTTGTAACCTCTGAAATTGTTCATTTAGGGTTTTTTTTTAGAAGGAAAAAAAAGCTTTGGGCAAACCCATCTCTTCCATCCCCACTCCAACGTGCATTGTGTGTTCAGTGAGTCAGAGGCTTC